AGCTTCACTAAGTAAGATGAAACTCACACTTAAAGATATGGAATGTAAATTATCCAAAATAAAAAGTGCCTATGAAGAGATTAGAACCCAATTAGAAGAATATAAGGAAGTCTTTTCAGTAGCATTGAAAGCTAACAATTCCATGTCAAAATAATTAAGGAAGTAAGACAAAACATACACAAATAGAAAATGAATTAAGCTCCTTAATTCGTTTTGAAAGCATAATTTTTAGTGAGATGGCTTTAGGAGATTAGTAGGAAGTGAACGCTGACTTGATAAATTAATTTGGGGGACAATAATGTCAGTAAATAAGCTAACTTTTAAACTGTTAGTCAAGGACAGTCTCTCTCTCTCTCTCTCTCTCTCTCTCTCTCTCTCTCTCTCTCTCTCTCTCTTTCTCCCTCTCTCTTTTGCTTTTATATGAATTTTTGTTCCCTAAAAGTTCTCATGTAGTTAACCCGATCTATTAGTTTTTTACTAAGTATTGTTGAAGCTTTATAACTAATAAAATGATCTTGTTACAAAAATGCTTGTCAGAATTTCCCTACATAGAGATATTAATGAGTTTAATTTATCTTTTGATGGATCACAACTTAAACCCAAATTGTCAAGAGCTACTCTGGGTACATCCTGGCACTCAGGCACAGAACTGTCCTTGATTGTGATCTTTAGTATTACCGCTAGAGGATGCCTCTGGACAGACTACTTTTTCAGACTACAGAAAGGCATCTTTGAGAAATGGGGAATAATTATCACAGAAATGAAAAAGTCTAATTTACAAAGTGGTTTAAAAATAACACCTTATTCACGTTGAAGGAGTTGTGGGGAAGGCAGAAACAACAAGCCCTACCTCCAGTGCCTCCGTCACAGTGTTAGGGGCTGATTGCCTTCAGAGATGCTTTAGTTCTTTTTGATGACCAGCCCAGCCATCTAGTTCTCCCCTAGGAATTGCTGGTCTGAATTATCCATCAGTGCCAAATGCTTATTGTTCTTAGCTAATGGCTAAAAGGTACAAGGGTGAAACCTGAAGCTGGTTTTCTAAACATAAGTATTTCTAGCTTTTTTGGGGAGTTCATTTTAGTTTTCTTAATTGTGTATTATTTAAGGAGTACAACATGATGTTTTCATATAATGATTTACAATTAAGTGGTTCTTATATTCAAGCAAATCAACATATTCATTTCCCTATATAGTTACACTTTAAATACAAGTATTTCTTTTTTTTTTTAATTTTTTATTGGATTATAGGTTTTGGGGTACATGAGCAGAGCATGCAAGACAGTTGCGTAGGTACACACATGGCAGTGTGCTTTGCTTTTCTTCTCCCCTTCACCCACATTTGGCATTTCTCCCCAGGCTATCTCTCCCCACCTCCCCCTCCCACTGGCCCTCCCCTTTTCCCCCCAATAGACCCCACTGTTTAGTAGTCCCCTTTCTGTGTCCATGTGTTCTCATTTTTCATTACCCACCTATGAGTGAGAATATGCGGTGTTTCATTTTCTGTTCTTGTGTCAGTTTGCTGAGGATGATGTTTTCCAGATTCATCCATGTCCCTACAAACGACACAAACTCATCATTTCTGATTGCTGCATAATATTCCATGGTGTATATGTGCCACATTTTTCCAATCCAGTCTATTATCAATGGGCATTTGGGTTGATTCCAGGTCTTTGCTATTGTAAACAGTGCTGCAATGAACATTTGTGTACATGTGTCCTTATAGTAGAACGATTTATAGTCTTTTGGATATATACCCAGTAATGGGATTGCTGGGTCCAGATGGATTAAAGACTTAAACATAAGACCTGGCACCATAAAAACCCTAGAAGGAAATCTAGGCAAAACCATCCAGGACATAGGAGTAGGCAAGGACTTCATGAACAAAACACTTATAGCATTGGCAACAAAAGCCAAAATAGATAAATGGGACCTAATGAAACTCCACAGCTTCTGCACGGCAAAAGAAACAGTCACTAGAGTGGATCGGCAACCAACAGAATGGGAAAAAATTGTTGCAGTCTACCCATCTGACAAAGGGCTGATATCCAGAATTTACAAAGAACTCAAACAGATTTACAGGAAAAAAACAAGCCCATTCAAAAGTGGGCAAAGGATATGAACAGATACTTTACGAAAGAAGACATATATGAGGCCAACAATCATATGAAAAAATGTTCATCGTCACTGGTCATCAGAGAGATGCAAATCAAAACCACATTGAGATACCATCTCACGCCAGTTAGAATGGCGATCATTAAATACAAGTATTTCTAATGGAATCTTCAGACCCTTACAAGTAAAGTCATTTTAGAAGGCAGCAAGTGTTACCTGCTGAGCCACACATCACTGATAGTTATTTCTCTTTCCTCTCTACTGTGTTTGAATTGCTTGTTCAGTAGAAATCACCTTAGAAGCACATGCACTCTTTAGAACAATTTGAAAATTATAATTGTTTACAACAGGTATGTGTTAAGGATAGGCGGCCCTAGAAAACCCCCTCCATGCAGCAGCTGACAGCCCCTTCTGATTGCTCTGTAGCTACATTTCTAAACTCTTATCTAGGCACCACAGCAAGACTTCCAGACATGCTATGACTGAGCAAAGCCTGATTACAGCCAGCTGGGCAGCATAGGAGAGGTCATGGGAAACAAACTTTTGTTATACTTACTTGTAAATTTCTGTTTTACACATACCTGTAAAATCCTTTTTTTAAACTGTTGCCATGAAAGTCACAGGATGACGTATTGTAAGTCTGTCACAGGCCAACAAACTATCTTTGTGCTTGTTACAAGCTGATAAATTATCTCAGTCCTGAAACTTCACTTATGCCTCTCTCACCCATATAAACCCATAGTTTTGTAAGCTCAGGGCTGCCTCCTCTGATTGTTATGGAGTAACCTTGCAGGTTAATAAAACTTGCTTACCTAACTTTGGGTCTATTCATTCTTTCTCTCTACTGACTTTACATTTTGGTGCCAAAACACAGGAAGGGGTAGGCTCTGGCTGGACATCCTTAAGGGACTCTCTCTTTCTCTCTTCCTCCCTCTCCTATCACCTCTCTTCCAGCCAACACACTGACAATGAATTTACGGTTAAGTCCTCAAAAGCAATTGCAAGAAAAATAAAAATTGACAGGTATGATTTAATTAAAGAGCTTCTGCATAACCTGAGAAACTATCAAGGTATTGAACAGACAGCCTACAGAATGGAAGAAAATATTCACAAACTATACATACAGCCAAGGCCTATTATCCAGAATTCATATGGGACCTAGACAAATCAACAAGCAAAAAGTAAATAACCCCGTTAAAAAATGGGCAAAGGAAATGAACAGACACTTTTCAAAAGAACACATATTTGGCCACCAAACATGTTAATAAATCCATACTATCACTAATCATCAGAGAAATGGAAAAGAAACATCAATGAGATACCATCTCACACCAGTTAGAAGGACTTCTGTTAAAACGTAAAAGCAAAGCAATTGTTGGGGAGGCTGTGGAGAAGAGGAACACTTACACACCATTGGTGGCAATGTAAATTCATTCAGCTGCTGTGGAGTGCAGTTTTGAAATTAAGGACTAAGAGTGACCATTGGATGCAGCAAGCCCATTACTATACTAGGTGTATACCTAAAGGCAAATAAATCATTGTAACAGGCCGGGCGTGGTGCCTCACACCTGTAATCCAAGCACTTTGGAGGCCAGTGCGGGCAGATCACCTGAGGTTGGGAGTTCAAGACAAGCCTGACCAGCATGGTGAAACCCTGTCTTTAAAAAAAAAAAAAATTCATTGTAACAAAAAGATGTGTGCACATGTATGTTCATTACAGCACTATTCACAATAGCAAAGACATGGAGTCAACCCAGGTACATCCAAGGTAGATTGAAAATCCAAGATAGATTGGAAAATGCCATGGACCGTGGAAAACTAAGCTGCTGTAAAAACGACAAAATCACGTCCTTTGCTGCAACATGGATATGGCTGCAATCCATTGTGCTAAGCAAACTAACACAGAAACAGAAAACCAAATATCTCTTGTTCTCACTCATGTGGGAGCTACACATCGGATGCACATTGTCATAAATATGGGCATAGTAGACACTGGAAAATAAGAACAGGGAGGGACAGAGTGGGGCAGGGTTGAAAAACTCCTTATTGGGTCCTATGATGACCAGCTAGGCAATGACTTTAAACCTCAGCATCCCTCAGTGTATCTTTGGAAAAAACCTACACAGGTATCACCTTAATTTAGAATGCAAACCAGAAAAAAAAAAGTTTACTGCAAGTGGAGAATAGAACTTTCCTTTTAAGGAGAACTTTACTGAAGTAAAAAATAGATGAAACTTTAATGAAGGGCAAAGTTTTGCTAAGAATTTCAAAACAATGCACTTATTGCAAATTTAATTGTTTAACCTTAGTACTAATAAAACACCTTTCTAAAGTTATATAATGCAATAGACCAATATTAATTGTATTTTTACCAGATTAATCTAGACAGCATTACACAGATACATATTCGTCTAAATTTAAAATACGTAGAAATTGTATTTTATGTGATTATTTTTCTATTTAAACAACTTCAAGTTATGTGTAGTTACTAAAAATACTAAAAGCTGCATTTTGTAAGTGATGCATTATTCTCATGATAATGTCTCATTTAAATTAAGCATTTTTAACTTATTTTAGATGGAGTTGGACTGTGTAGATGAAATAATTAGAGAAACAAGGAAAAATATGTTGTCAAAATTTATTAATTAAATTGAGGTTTATTTTAGAAATAAACCATAAATAGCAGATAGCATTTCTTTTCATTGTTGGGTTAGTAGATTCTACTACTTTTTTCTTACATCGAATGTGTGTATTTTTTCTTACACACATCTAATGAAAGATGTGAAAACAAAAGCTTTCACAATAAAGAGTGTACTTATGCACCATTAATTCATCAAGTTCCATAGCGTAAAACATTCCCAAGAAGTCATCAAGTTCTCAGGGTTTTGGTAGAGATTGAAGGCCAGCAGACCTCAGACTCATTTAAAATACTTAGCTAAGCAATAACTGATCATAAGCAGTCACTTCACAGGTGACATTTTAAATAATCTGTCATTTACTTTGTCATTGGTTTGCTTTTGTTTCAGAAAACGTTCCAAATTTTTCCTTATGGAATAAAAACACCCAGGTCAATGTGATTCTTGTCCAGTTATTCAGCCTTGTCTCTCACCACTTACCACACTCTGCCCTTTGCTCTAGCCCCATAGTGGGCAGAGTGGAACTCTGCGGGGCTCTTCCTCACCTCAGGGTCTTTGTCTTGGCCTCTTCCCTCTATCTGGCAAGCTTTTCCTTGTCCTTCAGGTCTCAATCTGTATATCTCCTCCACCAGAAAGCCTACAATACTGACACAAAACTGAGATATAGATGTCTCTTCTGTGTGTTCCAATTGTGCCCTGTTATATTCCTGTCAGAGTGTCTATAACTCTATATGGACATTGGCTGCTTCTCTGTTTTTTTTAGGTTATAGCATATTTGTTATGTTTGATTGTTGAGAGGTAGACCATACCATATTCATCTTGTAATTCCAGTACTGGTTCTAGTATCTTAAAATATGGCTGTTGAGTATATGAATGAAGAATGGAAAAAGCTCTGATATTTAACCACAATTATAATTAATGCCTGGTGTAAATAGAAGCACATTCTATTTAATATTAATTTTGTATTGTAATGGTACATACATAATTCTCATTCTTATTAACTCTGATAAAGTTCTCAACTTTTTAGTTTTTAAACTCACTGTTAGTTAACAGAAATGTTTTATGTAAAGAACATAATTCTTTTTCTTTTCAGCTGTTTCTGTGTTGGACATTTGCTCCCATCTACCTTCTTCTCTAGGGTCCACTGATGAGCCACATCTAATGAAGAGAATATCTAAACCAAAAAGTTTAAGGAAAAAGTTTATGATTTAAAAGATTATCAAACTTTATTACTGGGCTATTTACACGATGTTTTAATTGTTTCTCTTAAAATATATAACATCACAGTCTTTACTAAAGTAGAATATTTTTGTATCATATGTATGATGAAAATTTATTTGGTCTTTTAAATGATGTTATTTAGACTCTTTAATTTTTAAGTGGCTCTTGTAAAGGAAAACTAGTGTTACTGAATTTACATATCAAATTGCCCAAGTGTCAGCTGTTTAAACAGCCAAACAAGCAAATCATCATTGGTAGTTTAGTAGAGATCATTGATGGCTTATCTGCAATTTGCATGTTATTGTTATTAGTGTATGCAGTAGGAGACTTAAGGAGTAGCTACCCATTTTTCATGTGTATATTACTATTTCCTTTATTTAATTTAATCAATTTATTTATTTATGAGGTAGAGTTTTGCTCCTCATCCACGCTGGAGAACAATGATGCGGTCTCAGCTCACTGCAACCTCTGCCTCCTGGGTTCAGGTGTTCTCCTGCCTCAGCTTTCTAAGTAGCTGGGATTGCAGTTGCCTGCCACCACACCCAGCTAATTTTTGATAGAGATGGGGTTTCAGCATGTTGGTCCAGCTGGTCTTGAACTCCTGACCTCAGGTGATCTACCTGCCTTGGCCTGGCAAAGTGCTGGGATTACAGGTGTGAGCCACTGCATCTGACCACTAATGTTACTATTTCCTTTTTGCAGTTCAGCAGTTATTTTGTGAGAAGATACGTTGAGGCTTTGTAACTATCTTGTTACCCCTCAAAACCTACTAGATTTAGCATTTCATTGGTGATTTGTGTTTGAACAATTATTACTATGATGGTTGCCAAAAGATTACTTTCTGATTCTCTTTTTTGTTCCACATGGAAAAATAAAACCAATAAATAAGGGAGAAGGAAAAGCTCATGATTTTGGTGCTCAGATGCCCCAAGATTAGGCCAGTGGTAGACATTTCAAGCTGACTTTATGTCTTTTTAATTTGGCCCTTTTACTCTGTGAGTACTTTTTTACTTTCTGGCACATGATGTTACATGCTAATCTTGTATTTTCTCTCCCCCAGCCCTGGAGTGAGTAATTTTTCTTAGAAGCAGAGGTGGAGCCACCAAGGAATCGCAAGACAAGCCCTCCCAGCACACATTCACTGGTCTCCAACAGAAAGAACCACTGCCGCATGCACTGAGGTACCAAGAAACTAGCAAAAGGCCTTCTGTCTGTCTGGGAACAGTCTTCATGTGGTCTCTGGCTCAGCCTCAAACGTTCTGGATTAGTCTCTCTGCAGCCTCTGTGCTGTGTCTCTAGATTGGGGCTCTGCTGGAAGGGCTCTGGGAGACCCAGCAGCACAGGGTGTCTCCTCTGCCAAATGTTCCTCCCTTCCTCCCACTCTGACACTCAGGAATAGGCTAGATGGCATGTCCAGGCAGTGCCAGGCCACCTCAGTGTCTCCTTTGAGATGGACCCAGAGTGTGAAGCTGGCCACCTGGAGCCTGAGGCTGAGTATCCCTCCCTGTGTCTTGGAGGAGAAGTCTTGTCCCAAGAAAACTCCCAGGGCCTGACCTTTGGGCATACATGCAGGGCGGGAAGGTCTGTGGACTGAGGGGCTATTAGAATGAGACTTCCAGCACCGCTGCTCAGGGGCCTGGTCAGTGGACCATGGTTAGCGATGACCTGGTTCATGGAACCTGGCCAGTGGACCATGGTTAGCGATGACCTGGTTCATGGTACCTGGCCAGTTGGAACCTGATCAGCAGGGACCTGCTCACTGGCGGCCTCCTCAGTGAAGGCCTCATCAGGGGGACCTGGAGACCTAGTCATTGGAAGCCTGAGCAGTGGGGACCTGGTCAATGGTGGCCTTATTAGTGAAGCTTGATTGGGTGGAATATAAACAATGAAAAGCTTGAGTGGGTGGAACATAAACGATGTTTGGTGGGGTGTATACAGTATACTTGGGGCCTGGCCAGTGTGGAAACTTAATGGCCTGGGGCCTGGTCAGCTGGGAACAGAGTCATGGAGGATTGTTCAGTGGGGATGGGGTGGGTGGCAACATGGTAAATTGTGGTCTTATCAGTGGGGGGCCTGGCCAGTGGGATATTTATTAATCAGTGAGGTTTTGTCTGTGGAGCCTCTTAAGTGGGAGCCTACTTAACCAGGGTCAGTGGGCACTTGATGAATAGGACCTGGTCAGTAGAAATCTGGCCAGCTGGCCGCTTGGGCAAGGAGTTTGTCTGTGGAGTCTTTTTGCCTCCCATCTGTAGGGAAGGTGAGTCAGGGAACTCTGGAGGGTGGCAGGGAAGAGGACGTAGGAAGATGTGGTGAATCCAGCATTGCTGGGCATATCTAGGGCTTTACAATCTGGGTTTCACCTAGAGAGGGTGACAGCCCTCTCTGCCTTGCCTGGTGCCCCTTCTCTGTCTGCATCCCTTGGACCATTCTGGGTGCGGAAGGCAGAGATTTGGGAGCACCGGTGGAGGCTCAAATGCTGACCCTGGGCCCTGGTGGTAGCAGTGAGGACACAGGTGTACCCATGTGTGGAGGAGCTAGACCTGGTCAGAGAGGAACAAACACATGCATACACAAACACACTGCATGCACACATGTCAGTTCACGGGTAGAGGACACTGACTCTGGGCCCTGTTGACCCAAGCAGGTTCCTGTTGTGATGGGTTGTGTCACACATGATGTCATCCTTGCTGAGCCCTCCATTGTCTGTGTTGTGAAGCAGTTAGAGACGTACAACAGTGTCTGTCAGTGGCTCTGCCTGCAGGACTGTTTTCTTCATGAGAGGTACGTCTCAGCATGGCTGACTGATCAGACTCAAGTTAGTGGAACCTGCTATCTTGTCCTCCTCCTGGCTTGGGAACTGTTGCTACAGATGGGTGGTTTTGGCCTCTGGGCAGCTTCTGAGGGTAGTCCCTGAGCACTCACCAGGTGCCTGTTCTGGCTGACAGTCATTCATTCTCACAGCAATTTCCTTCTGCATCTCCTCAGATCATCCCCAGAACTGCCCATGACAACTCCATCAGGGCTCTGACACCAGGCTTAGTCCAACTCCATGGTAATCAAGATGAAGGTCCAGAGTCAAACCCCCAGCATGGTGCCTGCATCTGACCACCCTTGGTGGGTAGTGACCAGCTCAACATGGAAGAAGCCAGGGAAGCATGCAGCCAGCTGCCCTGCAGCCCCAGGGGCTCCTAGGCCTTGGGAAGTCATTCTCAAAGAAGAAACTGGCCACTTAGAGGTCCCGGAATGGAAGCGTGAACATAGCATCCCTACAACCCTGGTAGCCAGCAGCAGGCCATACATCTTCCCACCCAACCTGTAGGACAGAAGTTCCCTCCTAGGGCACAAGTTCTGTACCTTAAGGGTGCTGGCCCAGTTGGGCTTCATACTGAGCCCGGGGAAAGGAGGGGAACCATTGCAAGCCCACCAAGCAGCAGCCAGGATTACCACACATGGGATTCAGCCTTCTGCGGCCCTGGCCAAACTTTTTGCCCCAAGAGAACAAGCTCACTCAAAGTGGTGTGTCAGTACTGAGGGCCTGTGCATGCCAGGCAAGGTGCAGCTGGCTCAAAGAGCAATCATCCACCTCTGCAAGGGTATGCCAGGAGCAAGTGGGCCAGCCACCAACCTCACCCACTCAAGGAGGCAGGGATGGTTAGGTTCCCACAGCCTGAGTGGCTGCCACCTGACAGCTTATGGAGTGGAGACCTGCGAAAAAGCACATGGTACTCGGCTCTACCTTTAGGGCAGAATAACTTGTTTACCCTGACTGGCAGCAAGTGAGGTTGGTGGCTGGTCCACTGGTTCCTGGCACATGCTTGCAGAGGTGACTGGTTGCTCTTTGACCCAGCTTGGCCTTGCCCAGCATGCACAGACCTTAGTACAACAATTGCCACAAATGGAGTCACATTGAGGAAATGAGCAGCAAGGTCGGGAGCAGGGTATGTGCTGCCTTTGCGGTTCCAGTCCATGCATCAGGGCTCGTATGGGACTGAGGGCCTTTTGGGTGCCAAGAGGCAGATCACAGGCCATCTTGAGGAGGACTTTATGTTTAAGTGCAGAAAGGACCCAATCTGGTGAATGAACCACGTGGCAAGTTTCTACATGAGGGCACAGTGCCACATCTTCTGCCACTTTATGATGTGTCTTATTAGCACTGAAGAGACAGCTTGGAGACAGGACAAGAGGAGGGCTGACAAGGATGAGATGGTGAGTTCCAGCTTCTTTCTGACCCTGAGCTCACCCCCAGGTAGTGGTTCTCATCCTTTAGGAGTAGGAGAGCAAGACTGATGGCTTTGAGTGCTTCACCAAGAAGGTGGACAACAGGGCACTCAGCTCAACTTCATAGCCAGTGAGTTGGTGACAGGCTTTAAGATGGTGGTGACAGGCTTTAAGAAGAAGGATCAGAAGGTGGCCAGTTATTCTTCAGCCTCAGCCAGCTCTTGGAGCTGGAACGGGCTCCCACTTCACCAGAGATGCCTGCAACACTGTCGGAGAGCTCTTTGCCAATCAGCTGAGGCAGAACCTGGATCCACTCATGGACATGTTAGTGCTGCTCAGGGCCACCAGACCAACATCCTGGACATCATCCACACACACAGGGAAGCTCTTTCCAGTGACACGGTGAGCAGGCAACATGTGGCGGAAAGGATGACATCAGGATCACAGGAATAGGATTTCTTTGGCCACTTTGATTGAAATTCAACACTTCCATCCAATTTGAGTGAGAGACTTAAAATCACAGATGCAGCATTTCTTGCAACAAGAGATACTATTTTTTAAAATGTCACCTAGGAATTGATAGTGTTGAATGACTAGATACTTGATTGTGGACTTTTTCTAGTTTAAGGACACCTTCTACAGCAGAATAATAACACCATCAGAGAGCTAGTGCCAGCTATCAGTGGTAGTACAGTGATGGCTTTGTGCTCAGCTGGAACCAAGCTGAATATAGAATTGTGTAGGAAACAGTTCATATGGTGATAGAATAGAAACAGTACCAAACGAACTAAATCATCCTACGAATGCCTACACGACCATTCGTATTGGAATAATAGTAATATTGGAATATTGGAAGAATAGTAATAGCATTTATTTTATTGCTTTTTGAAGTATAAATAGTTTAGTGTATGTGCTGTAGACCTCAAACCCTGTAAATAGTCTCGAAGCAGCTGGCTGGATAAAGCCTGCTGTGGATGTCTTTATACGGACACAAGAACAGAAAATGAAACACCGCATATTCTCACTCATAGGCGGGTGATGAAAAATGAGAACACATGGACACAGAAAGGGGAGTACTAAACACTGGGGTCTATTGGGGGGAAAAGGGGAGGGCCAGTGGGAGGGGGAGGTGGGGAGGGATAGCCTGGGGAGAAATGCCAAATGTGGGTGAAGGGGAGAAGGAAAGAAAAGCACACTGCCATGTGTGTTCCTACGCAACTGTCTTACATGCTCTGCTCATGTACCCCAAAACCTAAAATCCAATTAAAAAAAAAAAAAAGATTAATGCTACGATTCAAATATGTCCCCACCAAATCTCGTTACGGTCGTGGCCACCAGGGGGCAGAGGAGGTTCATGCAGATGCGGGGGGTGGGGTGGGGCGGGGTACAGGCGGGGATGGGGGTGCAGGAGGTGCAGGTGGGGACAGGTGTGGTGATGGGGGTGCAGGTGGGTGCAGGTGGGGACAGGTGCTGGCCATGTGTGTTCCTACGCAACTGTCTTACATGCTCTGCTCATGTACCCCAAAACCTAAAATCCAATAAAAAATTAAAAAAAAAAAAAGAACTCTAAAAAAAAAAACAAAACATATGACTTCATCCCAAATGTCTTCAATCCTGAGCCCCTCTTTGAGCTCTGCCACTACAGCCACCGCAGTTAGCTTGATACCTTCCTGCTTCAACACTGAGCACCAACCCCAGGTGAACCTGGGTGGTTAGCCATGCCCTGGGGCCCCCTGTGCACACACCTGGAGCCTCTCTATCCAAAACCAGAGGCGGTTCCTGGGCGTTGTGCCTGGGACGAGGCAGGAGGCACTGGCTCTGCTCCCCAGGAGTGGCCTTGAGGCAGTCAAGGAACTGCACCCCCAGAACACACCCCACCCTCGGGCATGCAGGTGTTGCAGAGCAGAGCTTGGACCAGAGAATAGAAGGCATAGTGTCCCTGCTGGGGTGGGTGGCCCTGGGGGAGTACATGGCCCTGCCATGGGAATCAGACCCTGCCCTGTCCCTACCATCAGGTCTTGGGGTGCCTGTCATTCCCCTCCCAGATGTCCCGCACCTCGGGGTGAAGCCTGGCTGTGGACTTGGGGCTGCCACTCCCCAGCTCTGGGAGGGGTCACTGTCCTGGCGGGCAGAGGGCCTGAATCCTCACCTGTGAGTTAAAGACTTGGGCGCCTCTTTTCTGGGTGGCAGCAGGTGAGAGCTTGCTCAGTTTGGCCAGAGGAGAGTCCCATCCACCTGCTGAGCAGGAGGGAGAGAGGTGAATCCCAGGAGGTGGGGTCCCTCTGGTTTATGCCGTCTGCCCCATTGGGAGTTTATTCTGGTGTCTGGTGTGAGCAGGAAGCAGAATCCATTTCTTTCCCAAATAACACATGGTCTCCCTCCAGCCCCTCTGCCCCTGTGGACATCAGGGCCACATGGTTCTCTGGGGTGGGGCCATTCTGGGCACTGCAGGGTCTGAGCAGCATCTCTGGCCTCCACCCACTCCATAGCAGAAGCATCCCCAGTTGTGACAATCACAAATGTCCCCAAATATCAGTGTTCCTTAGGGGACAGAATCACCCCAAGTTGGCTGGGTATGGTGGCTCACACCTGTAATCCCAGCACTTTTGGAGGCCGAGGTGGGTGGATCACTTGAGGTCAGGAGTTCAAGACCAGCCTGGCCAACATGGTAAAACCCGATCTCTACTAAAAATACCAAAATTAGCCGGTTGTGGTGGTGGGCACCTGTAATGCCATCTACTTGGGAGGCTGAGGCAGAAGAACCTGGGAGGCAGAGGTTGCAGTGAGCCGAGATCGTGTCATTGCAGCCTGATTGACAGCGAGGCTGTGTCTCAAAAAATCGCCCCAAGTTGAGAGTCCCCTGGGTTAGGGGATTCCATGGACCACCAAAAAGACTCTGCGTCCCATGATCATATGGACTTCTGAGGTCCCAGGAGGTGGCACACATTGAAATCTACACAGAGTGAGGAGGGAGAGAGGAGGCAAATCCCAGGAGCTGGGGTTCCCCTGGCTTACACCATCTGCCCTATTGGGGGTTTATCATGATGTCTGATGTGAGTGGGGAACAGACTTTTTTTTTTGAGATGGAGTTTCTCTCTCTTTGCCCAAGCTGGAGTACAGTGGCATGATCTTGGCTCACTGCAACCTCCACCTCCCGGGTTCAAGTGATTCTCGTGCCTCAGCCTCCCAAGTCGCTAGGATTACAGGCTTGTGCCACCACATCTGGGTAATTTTTGTATTATCAGTAGAGATGGGTTTCTCCATGTTGGTCAGGCTGATCTGGAACTCCTGACCCCAGATGATCTTCCTGCCTCAGCCTCCCAAAATGCTGGAATTATAGGCACGAGCCACTGCACTCAGCGATTATTATTATTGAGACAGAGTCTCACTCTGTCACCCAGGCTGGAGAGCAGTGATGCGATCTCAGCTCACTGCAACCTCTGCCACCTGCGTTCAAGCAATTCTCCTTCCTCAGTCTCCCGAGTAGCTGGGATCACAGGCATGTGCCATCATGCCCAGCTAATTTTTGTATTTTTAGGAGAGACAGTGTTTTGCCATATTGGTGAGGCTGGTCTCAAACTGCTGACCTCAGGTAATCCATCTGCCTCAGCTGACCTCAGGTGTTTCACCCTCTTCAGCCTCCTAGAGTGTTGAGATTACAAGCATGAACCACTGGGCCTGGCCTATTTTTTTTTTCTCACAAATTAAGGTAGGGTCTCTCATGTTCAGCACTGCAGACTTTCTACCTGCTTAGGAGACATGGGGCTGGAGGTGCGGTTGAGGATGCAGCGGGTACAGGTGGAGATGAGTTCACGGGGTACCTGGGCCCAGTTGCACCCACCTGCACCCATCTACATCCACCTGCACCCACCTACACCCACCTGCAACTCCATCCTCACTCATCTAGGGCAATGTCTGAGGACATTTGTGGTTACACAACTGGGGGGTGCCCCTGCCATGGAGTGGGTGGAGGCCAGGGACGCTGCTCAGCACCCTACAGTGCCCAGGATAGCCCCACCCCAGAGAATGATCCAGCTCCCACATCCACAGAAGCCCAGTGGAAACCCCTGTTCCAGGACAAGCATTTCTACAGCCTTTTTGCTTTTTGCCACGTGGAGTACAAAAGTCCCTGACCTCCACATTGCAGTGCATGTTTTTCTGATAGCTCTTTGTTCATCCAAGGAGTTTTTTTGGTTGCATTTCTGCTGAGAGTTTTACCAGAGACTTTTATCTCAATAACGACTTGTGCAGTGAGCAAACTCTAGTCCCTGCTGCCAGTTAAGGCAGATTTATTTCCCCTGGTTGGCCATCAGCTTTCATCGTGTTCCAGGCATGTCGGCATTCACATTATTTTCAGTTCTTTTCATGGACAAGTTGTTCCCTTGAAAGAATTGCCAAGAAATACACCAGAACCTGAAAACGTTTGCTCTTGGGTCACATAGCCCTCCGCTGCCACCCCCTAGAAAATGCGTGCAACCCACAAGGGGTGCTGTGTTGAAATCAGGGGCTCTGCCTCAGCCTCCAGGGCCCAGAAGCCTATACCCTGCAGCCTCCGCATCTATAGCCCAGAACAAGGTGGTGCTTCCTGGTGGCAGGGGAGCTTGAATGTGACCTTGACCTTGAATAGCAGGGGATCACCTGGAGTGATCCTGACCCCACCTCCAGGGACACTGAGCAATTTCTGGGACATCTGTGGTTTTCATGACTTGGGGGAAAACCCTGACAGGGAGTGGGTGGAGGCCAGGGGCGCTGCTCATCACCCCAAAGTGCCCAGGTCGGCCCCACTGCAAGGAATGATCTGGCCTCAGATGTCCACAGTGCTGACTGGGAGAAACTCTGGGTTCATTATCTGGGGGGAAATATCGAGTTATCTTCCTGCTCACAGTGGGAACCAGAATAAACTCCCGACATGACAGACAATGTAAACCAGGGTACCCCTAGCTCCTGGGATTCTCCTCTCTCCCTCCTCACTCAGGGTGTGGATTTCAACACATGCAGCCTCCTGGAAACTCAGCAGGGTAGAGGATCATGGGATGCAGAGTCTGTTGGGGGTCCGTGGAATCACCTATCATGGGGGGTCTCAATCGGGGGCGATTTTGCACCCAGGAGACAATTGTGGCTGCCTCAATTGACAGATGCCAGGGGTCGGAGGTCAGGAGTGCCACTCAGCACCCTGCAGCACCTGGGGCAGCCCCTCAACTAAGGAGGATTCAGCCCCAAATGCCCACAGTGCCAAGTGGGAGAAACCCGGGTGCAGAAGCTGCCTCCCAGGTGAGTTGAGGGTAGGCTCTTGTTGTCTTCTCCGCCAGACTACTACAGCCCCCACTCAGGCCCTGGTACACAGACCCATGTTTTCAGGCCCACAGATGTCCTCTCAGCGAATCCCTGTTTCAAATCTATGATTGCAACCACCTGACGTTACTGATTGGAGTCTCCCTACCCAGAGAGGCTCACGTCTACGATCACCGAGGCCAGAAATCTATCAGTGGGGCGCATGTATCTGGGCACCCCGAGCCAGTGTGCAGCCCACAACTGCCTCTCGTGTGTGTGTATGTGTGTGTGTGTCTGTTGTTAAGCAACCTCCTGAACAGTCAGCCTCCCACAGAGCGAGGGATAAAGCACCGATTCTGTCACCCTGTCATCAGCGATTCACCAAGCCTTGGCCGCTTTTGGCTCAAAGCACACAAGGCAGGGACAGTCACCTACAGTAAGACGCTGGGGGGCAGGGGTCATGGTGGAACCAAGTGGAGGCCACAGAGGATGTCTCTGCCAACCCGTGGCTTGACCTTGACCCTCCCATGACCATCTGTAGCAGGGGTTGGAGTACGTTGCCTAGGACAGTGATGATGCGGGCCCTTGAATGTGAATTTTCCTTCTGTCTGCGTCATGGTTTTAGTGATCGAGCACCCATGGACAGGGCCCTGCTGGGCTAACACCCTTGGATCTGTGCACACACCCGGCGCTGCGTGGGGACGCCTGATATAGACGGCTAAGGTGCAACCTGGGGAAGCCCAAGGTAGGGTCTGTTGGAAGTTAGGGGCCTGTTAGAGGGGTCCCCTGTCCCACCAGCAGGGTTTGAGGG